TCATTATTTTCTACCAAAATATACCTTTTGGGTTAAAATATCACAAATATCTGTAGGAATTTAGTGTCATAGAGGTTGGAATTACAATATATAGTAAATTGGCAATTTGCCAATAATGAGATATTTATATTAATATATTCCGCCCTTCCCACGCAACACTGAAAGAGAACAAAAGTACCTAAAATAATGAAAATACTTTATTATTTTTAATTCATTTAAATTCAGAATGTACATTTCATGATTTTCCTCTGCCAATATCATATTTTCCCTCAGGATAAAATTCATATTCCATCCCTCCCATTATATAACCTCTATGTATTCAATAGCAATATCACCCAATTCAATATCGCCCAAATATGACCCAGATAATGTCCTAATATCATAGCAACATCAACCAATTGTCAATCAAATGTCACTCTATATCAATCCAAAATAACCCAAGTATTGGCCTCATATTATTTAAGTAACAGTCCAATATCAACCCTCTTATTTACCAAATATCACCCAATTATTCTGATTGTAATAATATCCCACTGTAAATCCAAAATCAGCCAAATATGAGCCAAATAATGGACCCAATATGATAGCGATATCACCCCAATATCAATCCAATATCACCCAAATATTGGCCCAATGTGATAGCAATATCACCCAAATATCAAGCAAATATTGGCCCAATATCAATCTAATATCACCCAAATATTAGCCCAATATTATAGCAATATCACCCAAATATAAGCCCAATTCGATAGCAATTTCTGACAAATATCAATCCAATATCAACTTTATATCTGCCCAATTACCAACATATTGCCATTACATAAGCAATATCAAAAAATATAAGTTCTGATATCAACCTAATATCACAACAATCTCCTCCCAAATCAAGCTTATATTACCTCAATATCACTTCTATTATTAGTTGCAATAGTCTTGACTTGTGAAGCTAAATCTTCTGTAACCTTTCTCCGTTTTCTTGGAGAATTTACCTGCTTCCTACATATGCAGCATGAATAGCATTTGGCCATTTTGAATAATCAACAAAAATGGCAGGCAAAATTTTCTATAAAGTTCTAAAATTCACATCGAGCATAATAAGTCTCCATCAAAATTATTCTTTGTATGCAACAATATAACATTTATGTAACTAAAGAAGCACTTATTAGAGTGGAGACTTGTTATGCTCTATGTGAAAACACTCAAAGGATTACTACCTCCAGTGAATAAAAATGTCACCCAGACTCAGCATGAAATGTCCTTTCAAAGCTTTACTTACCTCTAAACTGTACATATTGTTTAAATCAATTGTATATATGGATCAAATAAATATATATTTACATAATCCTGGACAGATAAATCAAAAACATTCATTCATAGCTGAGTAAATTGGAATTCATCAAGAGGGTTGCAAAATATGTGAATTTTTTCCTTCTGGCCCCCAACCTCTTTGAAGGTCTCCAGACACCGTAACAATTTTTTCTAAATTTTTTTAAAAATACTACCCAAAAATATAGACTTCAATCTATGCATTTCTGATGTTTTTTTCTCCTATTCTTAAAAAAAGTTTTTTCACACTTCAATTGGGGCACTCTCTGTTGCTAGTTTACCCAACTCCTTTGTGTAAAAGTTCTCTTTAAAATATTTAGCTAATCTCCCTTATCATTTGTCATTTCTTCATACCTATTTATAATTATGCATAATACCATACTATTCTGACCACCAAAGCCACATTTCATTGTGAACATCTTGCTTATCAAAACAACTGAAAATATGTGTTGCAGAACAGGATAAACACATGACATCATGAAAGGTATAGTGAAACCTGTCAATCTAAACCGAATGCTACTAGGATCTGCCAAAAGTGTTCGAATTACTAGGTGTTCAATGTTCACATTTAAAGTTTTCTTAAGATGGGATTTTTGGAGAGATGTTTGTTTATACATATACAGGTTTTTCTGTTCTTTGGTGGGTCTTGTTTATTAGTCTCCCATGAAAAATGTTCCCTGACACTCATAATGTTAACAGAATTGAGGGGGAGGGGGGGGGATTTGATGCAGACATAAACTGACAAAAAACTATATGCTTGTCTTACCAATATCAGTGCAGAATTTATATATCAATAAAAGTGTTCTTTTATAGGTTCAGGAAATGGGAATTCTGGATAACAAGTGCTTAAAATGTCATCTAGGATCAGTTGTTTCACGCCTTTTGCCCTAAATGTGAATGGAGTGGTTGATTAGCAATCACTGAATTTCGATCACTTGACATATATGGGTATCTATGATTTATATGTGAAAAGACTATAAATCAAAATTATAAATGAATAGACTGATACGAGTCTGTAGTGCATACTGCATAGTGCATTTCTTAAACTCAATTTCTTTTCTTTTATTCCTTATAGCTTTCACTTCCTCAAGGATAGTAGTAAAACCTAGATACCATAGTAAGATACTCAATGCCAAACTACCTAACTATGTCCCAATTGCGACAGTGGTCATATTTTAAAATGGAAAATAGATTGGCGAAGAGAGGAATTAGCAAGAAATAAAGTTAATAAACATGAAGTAGACACTCAAAATTGTATAGAAATAAAAACATTTCAGACACTTTATTCAAATTTTTCAGAAAATTGAGTGAAATAAACATGAGCAGACAGACATTTGATTCAACGAAGATGACACTTGACCTTGAATGTTCTAAGTGGGACAATGTTGACAGTTTATATTTATATTCAGTAACACAACAATGCTAATGTTTAGATTTTTGATTATTTTATGAAAGCTCTTTTATCAACAAACAATATATCACTATCAAGTTAAAAATCGTTGAAACAATTTTCCAGACTCAGGGCTCTCGCTACGCTTTTAGAGTGTGGCGCCCCGCCACACTCTAATTGAGTGCCGCCACAACCTATCCAAAATAGAAGGTAGTAACCACAGTCTAAACTGTAGTAACCACAGCCTAAATTGTTGAAAATTCACGCTAATATCGTGTTAAATCACGATTTATAAACAAATTTCTTTTACCTGACAGCCATATTTGTATTGAACGTGAGGTACTGCTTCTGCGCCAAAATAATTGCGCAAGGAGCTTCAGAGTCACTTGGACGCACTTTTCCCACGGCAGATCACGGCCCAAGACCAAGATCAAAAAAAATTGAAAAAAATTCAACCTAGCCTATCTCTTCTATAGAACGAATTGTAAATTCTACTCAAAACATAATCAGAATAAAAGAACAAGAACCCACCTACCTTAGAGAAGACAGTGAAAGTGAAATTGACAGATAATCATCAGTATTTGAGAAATACTGAGTGAATTATACTTGCCGGTAAACAGGAAGTCAAAAAGTATGGCCTGCCAATCCAGCAGATTATAATTCAGCAAGTAAACAGGAAGTCAAAATGTATGGCCTGCCAATCCAGCAGGTTATAATTCAGAATCAGAAAGTTCGCAGTGATTCAATAGAAGAAGGTATAATGTTTATTTCTAATATTGTACACAAATTATGGATAAATTAAGAACTTTTGCAAAGCTTAGGCTCGCTCCGCTCGCGTGTTCGCTTTACTCACGCTTCGAATCGCGTATTCGCAGTAACAAGCACCACACCCTAATTTTTTTCTGGTGAGAGCCCTGAGACTGTATATAAATATAAACCCTCACATATGTGTCCCATCTCCAATGACAGTTATGAGTGAAACAACATGCAATTGATTAAAACCTACAATTATGTAAGCATTTCTAAAAAAAATATAGGCTTTCAAGAAAAATTCATGTAAGATCTGGACACATTATATAAGAACTTATTGCTCAGTCCTTGTATATACATATACCAAGGGTGGTGCTTATATATTAAAAAAATATCCACCCAACTCAAGTAGGAGCAGAATTGAGTAGATACTTTTACAGATACCTATACTGTATAAGCCAAGTTCAAATTTCATAAAGTATCAGATCATAGTGACTGATTCCCTTATGTATTTTATATTAGCGTACTGGGAGCTTATTAATCATGAGCATTGAGAATATAATATAAGTTGAAGGTATACTTATGATTAAAAACATGCAATTGCAATTCAGAAAAATAGCTGACATTACAGAAAAGTGTGGATCTGAGACTATTGTGTACATGGTATAAATCATTTTAAAAAAAACTTTTTTAAAAAATATAGAGTATACAGGAACATCTGTATATCTGAACACCTCTCCAGATCTTAACACTTTCTCTTGACCCCAATTTTAAATCTTACACCGACTCCTATCTTCAAGAAAACTTATAACATGAACATCTGGTAATTGGAACACTTTCGGCTGGTCAAGTGGCATTCTGACGAGACAAGTTTTACTGTATCTTCTCTATGACATTTGCCAAATTGACATGTTGATGATTTATCACTCCCTATAAAAAATTATTTTACTATCCCATGGTTTTGTTTTTGGTAAAATCATAATTCACGATCCCGCAAAAACTATTGTCCACCTTTTGACGAATAATAACTTGCGACCAAATTATAACGAAGATTTAATCTTGATTCTACACAGTTTTATACTTGTATATCCATTAGAACATATAGACACTGCTTCTGATGACAATTTTCATAATCAATTCTATACTCCGTATTCATCTACTAGGTGTAATATGACATAGTCCTAATATGTACTCTATGTTATTTTTTATCCGTTGTTAAATGACATCATTTGGGAAGCATATGGTTCAACAAATATTACAATTCCCGCCATCCATGAAATTCAATAGGCTTTAAACTGTTGCCAATTGTAGCATCACAATGGCATGCATCTATTCTATATATTCTTTTCCAAAATGAGTGGTAGAAAGACGATAAAATTTGTGAGTGATGCTGCTATTTGTGATGTGGTAAAATAGTGCTAATCGCGATTAAACTGAGTGGTTCAACTAAATTTAGTGGACTGGTGAAATTTGTATCGTGGCAGTATTCACCAGTCCACTCAACATTCGCCAATGAAAACCAATTGGTACTTACGAATTTTATTTTTCTGGTCTATGCACACTGTAATATGAGGCAGCTTAAGAATTTGCTTCCATTTCTTGCTCTTTCCTTTGCGTTTACCTCCACCCCCTGAAAAATAGAAGCAGCTATTATATTTTTGGTCATCTCATCTAAAATCCAAATATAGTAGTAGAAACGGTTGAGAACATTTTAAATCATAACTATCAAGGAATAAAGCAAGTTGCCGTGGAGATAACACTAAAATTAATTAGGAAACGCCTCAAAATCAGAGATTTCACTGAAATTTGAGGAAAATGGTGCCTTTGATCATTTTCATCTTATTCTGGTGGTTATTTAAAAAATGGAATGATAGATGGACAGAAAGAAGAGCAGACAATTCCAGAGGCGTACATATAAATGGGACTAAATGGTGATACCTGAGACAAAGGATATATGATCTAATCTAATCATACAACAGTGAATAGTTATTAAATATAGTCTAATGACTATTATGTTTAACAACACTATCTAGTATACATAATTATACACAAAGAAGAACCAATTAAGTAGAACACCTCCACATTTTCTCTTAACTATTACTTTAGGTACTGTAAATCAATCTGTAAACAGAGCACCTTCGAAGCAGAAAGCTAGTTTGTAAAGTGAAACACCTCTGCATGTGCAACATTTTCAAATTCTAGTTAGACCTCTGTAAGTGGAACAGCACCTAAGATGAACACTATTGCAGGTATCTTATACAGGTTTATAGTATTGGTTTGAGTCTGGTAACATGTATATAATAACAGGGTCCAGAAACGTGACAAATATTAATAATAATGAGACTGTGTCATTACTCACATGAACAAGCACCTTACTTAACTGAATTACAATTCTTAAGAATGATTCTACTTCATTTGCACCAGCAATGATTAACATTATCATAAATCCATCCATCTTATATTATATTGACCAAATATAAATGTGGGATTAATAAGATGTTTAGTATATATCTCGTTTGATTTTGTCTCTGAAAGAATTTCACTTCCACCCGTGAGTTAAAGATGATCCTTTGATCGAGCCTTAACCAGTCAGAATACTGAGGATATTTCCAAGTTTGATTTTACTTTTTTAAAAGAGAACTTCATCCTTATTTATGTACAAGGCTCTTATAGGGTATAAGAACTTTTTTCGCACATAAAGTTTGTGATTGGAAATACTCGACAAGACAACATGTACACATCATGTGAAATCACCACCTTCTATTCTATCAATTTCTTTCTAGATTCACTAGGGACATATAAAAAGTATCAGCATGACACTGACCTTTGTATGTGTGTGTCTGTGTTATATTTTAGATTACATAGTCATTTATGATGTTGCATTACCAGATTAGTTATTTAAATATTAAATTCTTATTAAGTTTCTGATTAAAACATGGTGATGAGTAAAGTTGCAGAATAAGTAAGGACAATTATTATCATTTTTGCAGACGGTCGAGAATGCATTTAACGACCAGCAATTTTTCCCGGGAAATTAGATATCGTCCAGTACTTAGGATTTTCTTGCTGTTTCAGTCCTGGTCATTAATGGTGGTAATAATACTGCCCTTCGAAATGACGTTATTGTACTATTCTACTCACAATATACACGGTGACTGATAAAGGGGTCTGAATACAAATAAATATAAATAATAAATAAAATAAAAATATAAATACAATAAAAATATCAATACTGTATATATTTTAGACAATGTTTATTGTATGATGATGAATCAAAAAAGTGAATTTCTTATTTCTTATTTGTATGCATAGTAGCAAGTATTGATTTACACTGCCATCCCACACACAAAAAGTCAAGGTTGCGATGATTTAAATGTAAAAAGTAAAAGCTAGGGCAATGAATGAATATGAAATTAGATCCACAGTCAACACTGTTTAAATTATACAACTCTGCGTAAAAATCATATACTTGTACTTTATTTAAACTTTATAAAGAAATAGAAAACAAAAGGAAACAGCAAAAATTTATTTTCAACGGGATAGTAATATGTGTAGGTTGTGGTTGACCTTATATGACATCATCTTTTTAACATTTTCTGGCAGGTTACCTTTATTTTTTCATTCATCATTATATCGTACTTAAAGATATCACAAACGAATTGGTAAAATAATACACAAGGCAAAACAGTCATTCAGTTCAAGTGTGCGGGAATAAAATATGCCATATTATAGTCATATTATCTTCATTTTATTTTCACATATCTCCAAATATATTTCACATTGAGAATTCGAGAGAAAACATTATCACAATGTATGTTTGATATCCATGAACCCAAACTGGTGAAACAACATTTATGTTATAAGGCTTATATCAGATAAAATGCAATCTGCAAAAACAAATGGTGATAATTTTGTATATTAAATAATTGTATTATTTTCAAATATTATTATCACATATGTATTTCAGTCACAAATAAAGCACAAGATAGCATACACTGTTTGGTTATCACTTTTTTATTATATATTATCACTATAGCGTGAGATGAAACAAACATGTACAATCAACAGGCAAAATGGCACTACCTGCCATTTGTTACAGGCACCATGTCATTTGTTACATATGCTGACCGCCAAACACCGTCCACCAAAAAATGGAGATTATAACAACATGTCACCACTTCTGGTGATGACATAATAAGAGAATGACGGACATTTAATGGTGATTCTGGTGCAAATTGGTGTATTATTTTGAGATTTTTGCATAGCCCAGTTTGCATCTTTATCTGGTTTCAGAACTTTTGGCTCATATTAGACATTAAAGGAACATGCCCTTTAATGCACCTTATAGGCTCTCGGTAATCTTTATTGCTTAGTTGACAAGTATATGTGAATACAAGTTGGACTTATCTGAATGGTATCACTGTCAGTAAGAGATTACAATTTCGGGGGGGGGGGCAATTTCGGTACCCCTTGATATTATTTCCATGGGAAGTTTATTTATCAACATACCAACTACAAGATTCTAACTGTATTTGTTGATTTTATAATAAAATTAATATTTAGATAGATGAGGTGAAAAATTCATAAAGTGTTGAATGATTGAAACAAAAGGGTTCTCTATATATCATGCCCACCATGAAAATATCATCCTAATTTTTACAACCTGAACTCCTCTAATACCCTGTTTCTGAACTCATCTAATACTGAGCTGCAATCTGTTTTCAGCCCATTAGTTTTCAATTTCAATTTCAAGTCGAATGTTGCATTTTTTATTGAAAATCCAAAAATAAGCCAGATGCAGGAGAAAAAAACATGAAAATAAGGCAGCATGGTAAAGGTTTATCACAATATTGTAGAATTCATCTTCTTAATTACCTCGAAAGAATTTCTAGCTTTTTATCAGTAATTGATTTCATTTTGTATCTAAACATATCTACTCCTATTATTTGCATGGTATAAACATAAATTGTATATATTAGTATTACACGAGGGTATAAAATATATAATAAATACGATGATATTAAGGCATAGCATGTAACACTTTCCCAGTAAAATCAAGTCGTGATTATGATTCTGTCACTTTTGGATCTTCTCAAAATTGACATGTACAGTAAAATTTTAAATGTTAGGAACTACTTTGAATTTAAAAAATAAGCAATCAAATGACTATTATGCATCAGTATATGAAAAAAATGGAAACATATCTACAAGTCTTAACTTTTTTATATTTCAGATAGTTATGTATAATGTGCAGCAAAGCTATGGCCTTTTGTAATTTAGAGAGTTTCAGCCATGTTAATGGCAGAGAAGCATCAAAAGTAAGGACATGTAAAAATGTTTCTATTTTTACATATTCTGTTTCAATATGGTCTTTTAATTGCTTATTTTTAGATTCAAAGTAGTTTCAAACATTTAAAATTTTACTTTATTCCATAGTTACCATGATATTCATAGGATAACATGTCAAAATAAAAACGGTATTTTTGTAATCGGTGGTAAAATATGATATTTTTGACAATTTTTCACTTAATCATAGCATACGGTGTTTAAGCCATGACATACGGTATGCTATGAATTATGGATTTTTGCTACTTCAGACTCAAAACGAGGCTAAAAGTCAACATCACCGGATCGTTTTGAAAATTCGAATTACATCACTTAATTTTCAACGATTCTGATGATGGCTTTAACTATGGAATAAAAAGAACATCCTATGATTTACTCATGATACAGGGTCTGACCTTAACTTTTTTTACCAGTAGCAAGGATTTGCTACCTTCTACCAAAACAAGGAGCAAATTCTCATATTCAGGTAGCAACAAAAATGCTCCAAGAAACGTTATCAGGTAGCAAATTGCTCCTCAAATTCTATTCATGTCTTAAAACGAATCCCCGGTTATTTCTCGCCTTTTTGCACTGAACGAAATGACAATTTTTACGTTCAAGAGTCGTCTGAGAACAATTTGTGGTTTTTCAGACCAAAATCCGCATGTTTTCATTGAAAATAGGAGAATGAATCATCTAATCCTAATAAAGGTAGTATAATCAATTGGGGGGAAACAAATTATAGCGTATTTGTCGATGAAACATGTTATCGTGCAGGCGACATTTTTTCGGCAAGAAATTCTGTTTCGCTAAAGCGAGTAAAGTCGAATCAGTGATGTTATCTTATTTTGTTTCATTTTGGGATCCGTATCAACCAATCAGCGTTGAGGTTGTATATCGCTATCGGAAATACGATGAAAAAATATCGGGAGTGGTAAGTTCCATTGATTCTATGCGATAGAAGGGTTGAAATACATGAAATTCGTTGCGTAAATTTGAGGTAGCAAGCATTTGCTCCCGGCCACGAAGTTTTTGGAGCAAAATGTGAAATCAGGTAGCAAATTTGCTCCTTGCTACCACTAAGATCGAACCCTGTGATCGAACTGTGATCGAACCCTATTGATATCTCTGATATCTTGCTACGCTCGCTCGTGCAGATATCATATCCATTCGTGCATTTATTTTGATATATGCAAAGTGCGAGAACCCTATGTCTTTATGGCACTTTCACTGATCTTGAATATCCTATAAATGTCCCCAACGGCATAGAAATGTTATATTTTTATTTATTTGGAGATCGAGGGACATGAAGAGGTTACAAAGATCAATGAGCTGAATGAACAGGTGGAAATTGCAATTTCGCGAATCTATTTGCAGAAATTCATGATATGCATTCAAAGCTTAAGGAATGATCGATACAAGGCTGCGCTTTACACATATGAATGTAATGTAGTATGAATATATGTGGGAAACCAAAATATTTTGCCATGTCCATTTTTTATTAATTTTGGCTTCCGAAATTGGGTCAACATTTAACATACCTTCTCTGGCTTTTAAGTACACCGTGTTCGCAACAATGTTCTCCAATTCCATGGTTGCAGACTTGGCTTGATGTACCACACCTAAGGGGTAGGGAAATACCCCGAAAGCAACCTTTTAGCCAAGGTTTTCTCCGAGAACTATTGGGTGTGGTGATCCAATATGGCTGTCAAAACCGGAACTCGATCTTCATTAAATTTGATTGGCTTAGAATTTACGTACGTCATGAACGACCACACATCGGTTATTGGCAGGTCTAGGTCAATCACCTTCACTTTGCTACTCTTGTAATGTCTTTCTGATGGAAATCACCCAAATAAACGTTGAAAATATTTGTCTGAATAGTAATTTATCATTTGGTCTCAACCAAAAGTATCTTTATGATACCAAATACACAAATATTCTAGCGTTATATGTAATGTCTCAATCTGATCAACCACGATTCTAAGTATGCGGCCAAAGTAAACTTTTTTGTCATATTTGTCTGCACATTCTAGTTTTCAGATATTGTACATGGAAAATAGTGAATAAACCTCTATGTACTATATCGTTTGTGATCTATGATGCAACTTTTCATTGTCTCTCTTCTGGACATCATGACCATACAGTATTAGTTATGGATGAGCTTGGTTGTGGGCGATTCAGCACAATCAATATTATAAAATCTTGATCTTATTTAACTAGTATGGATGATTTCAGCTTACATTTGCTTCAAAATTCACGTGACCAAGAACATGAAACGATATAAATATTGTTATGCAAATATTTATTATTTAATTCATATAAAAACAATTGTGTTCATAATTGTTAATAACATAAAAACATGCATTTTACACAAATGGTCTATATATGATATAATGAATGTTTGACCATGAGACGTGTAAGGGTATACATACAATTTCTAGACTATGTACATGATTATTCAAATATAATATATTATTCATATTGTGTTTACATTTGATACCTAATTGAATCAATCAGAATCATATATAGTAAACCCAAAACAAGTTTAACTTGAATTCTGAAGATAATGCGAAAAAGATTATACATCAAAGTAATTATTAGTAAAAATCTCAAATGACACAAAGTCAGTCTATATAATTTATGAAGTTCTAAATGAATTACAATTGTACAAATCAGAACAATTTATGGAAAATACCATGATAATAGAAATAAAATGAAGGTGTGTATCCTTGAACAAATGACTACTATAGTATCAGTATAATGAATGAGGGTTGTTCAATAAAAAGTAATACAGATTTCATTAGCATTTATTGAATGACCCTTGTTTATCATCCCATGTAAAGCCTAGCTCAAATGACAAATAAATATAAGTTCAATTATATACAAGAGGAAAGTTGTACATTACAATTTTGAGTTTTCAAACTTCAGTAAAACCTGTAAAGTAGAACACCTTTGAAGGTAGTACACCTCCATTAATGCACCATTTTTCAAGATTTTCAGTCGTCAATTAATATTAAGGTATCAAATGTGTATGTTCCACTTACACATCTTTTGCTGTCAATAAATCAAGTTGGCTTTGCCTCACATATTTGTCAATGCAAGTTTTGTGAGCAACAATGAAAAGCAGTCTGGCTATAAAAGTAAACTCTAGTCTAAAATTTCATCTAAGACCAAATACATAACTTTTTCAAGTTTAACTCTTTCATGTCTGAGAACAACTCAACAAATTGTCTTGATAGACCTTAAATAGTTAACATGACATCCAAAATCAGAGTTTTATAAGCTAGCATATAAGGTGAGCAATTGAGGCAAGAATTCTTTGAATATATATGTCATTCTCCCTTATTTGGGAAATGTTGACTTCCTTCCTTAAAGCCTGACCACAAGATTCCTTAAAGCCTGACCACAAGATTACTTTAAGTCCAACCACAAGTTTATATGATGTGGCACTTGAGGTTTCAATTTCTGAGACTCATCCATAAACAATGAAAAACATTTCAGCATGATATTTCGAGTGGTATCTAAGTATTAGTTTACCAATGGCATGTCCTTTTATATCACTCATTGACCCGTGCTGTGGAAATAAGAATGTTTACATTTCTCTCATCTACAAGGTGGGCCAAAAGTGCCACTTTCATGGTACACTGGGTGAGAATGACTAGGGTTTTAACAGCTGTGCAAAACAAGTACATGTGTACTAACAGGTGGCTGTTTTAATACCACAGATGGCAAATTCAAAATTGAACAGTCTATTGGTCTACAGAAGCAGCAATAAAAGTGAATTTTTAAGAAACATGCTAAAAGTAGATTACATAGCTTTACTCAACTGGGGGCCATGCAGAAACTTCGTTAAGTTAAGAATTAGTTTAGTCCATTGTTCTCTTACTGTGACGTCATTATATCCATGGTTACAACAATTGATTTACAAATTTGTAACTTAACAAAGTTTCTGTCAATGACCCCCAAATATACATCTAAATACCACATCTCAACCTGTCATGGTTAAATCCAACATTTTCAACTGAATTTACAGCCTGATTTTTACAGGGCTATTGAATAAAGCATTTGCAACAATAGTTAATCACTTTTAATCTCCTGCTGATTTTACTGATCTGGCAAACCCTTTCAGATCTTTTACACGTGACATTGTTTATGCATAAAGCTATTGAAACATTTTGGACTTGCACTAAAAATATACATGAACTAATGTGACATTCACATAATGGGAAGACAAGTAGATATTACATGTATTGTACATATATAAGGAATATTATGTTATAGCTCAAACATGTCAAAGCATCTTGCACCATATCATTTTCAACAAAAGCACAAATTGTACGAGAAATGAAAAACTGATGCCACCATCTGTGATGCAACGGCATGGCTTATAGTGGGAGGGAAGGGTCATAACATTTTAATGACAACACCCCCCCTCCTACCACAATGTCATCTTGGCAGGATCTTGCTATTTTGTGCTGATATGTTTTACTAAAGTTCACATACTCCATTTATGTTGAAATAATCCAGCTATTTCTACAATTCCTAGTACTGAATATTGCTGATGGTTAAAAAATTAGTGGAATTCAATTGTCATTAGTTTTCTTGGAATTCACTAAGAGCCTTTATTGGTTCTATTTTCTTTTTCTGTGCACTTTTTCGTACTTTTGCACGTAGCTCGTCTGGGTTTTCCCTTCTTACGAGTGGTTTCTTCTCGGGGGCTTTCATCTTCCAAGATACTCTTGTATAAGCCTGAAAAAGAAATAATTCCACAGTAATAATGATTCCACAAAACAATATGATACAATATGAGAGTCCCAATATGACATAGTTGTGTTTAAAGTCTTTACTTTTATTTCACATCCTCCTAAGCAGGTATCCAGAACTTACCCCTGGTATAACCAATTTGGAAGCGCCCAATTAAACTGAATCACGTGATCTAATTATGTGCAATAACTTATACATGAGAGCCAATCAGATTGCGAGTTCTTAATCGCGGAAATGCTAACTGCTTATCGCAGGGGGTAAAAAGAAAGAATGCATTCTGGATTTTGAAGCCCTGTGATCGGAGGATGTTATTTCAGAGCTTCAAAGATCATGTTACAAAATTAATATGTTCATTTTCATTTCAAATACCAGTAGGCTAATCAAGAAAATTCAGTTAAATATATTTGATAATTTGACTGTATGATATAACATATATACAGTACACGTATTTGACATGTATTGGAGTTTTCATGGATGGACGAATGGAAGGACAGATGGGAGGGTGATTCCTTAAGGCTTACCATGTGCGCCACAAATGACACACTATAAATGACCAAATTTGTAAGTGTAATAATGTCCCATACCTTGCCCATGTTCTTCTGGTATTTTGTTGAGGCAACATAGGAGGCCTTTACAGTCAACACCACAGCATTCATCAAGTTCTTGGCTGAAGTGATCAAAGATGTAGCACTGTCCAACTGAAAGATAAACAACAGATATAGGTTCTGGTAGGAGCATCCACAGTGTATTTTTTAGCATTCAAAATGCTTTTAATTGATATTCAGACATAGCTAGGCCTGATATATCCAATCAGAACACAATACATGTGTTTCAAATAATCTGCATTCTTGAAATTACAATCAAGCAAGACATACATTGTTAAATCATCCTACAATTCATTAATATGAAAGAAGATAGAAAAATAATTTGCACAAGCGATCAATACAATCCTAGGAGGATTATCTTATGTCACAGTCATTCTGAGGATATAGAAATACAAAGTTGTTATAACTTACCCCTGATACAATGAGTTCTCCACTGATGTTCTGTACATCTGCCTTTACTTTGCTAGTAATGTTCAACTGATGGCAGTAGAGAGCAATTCGCTGTAGGTACGCAGTCAGATCTTGCTTGGAGGCAGACTCAGGACACTAAAACAAAGCAAGCAAATCAAAAAGATGCAACAGGATCTTGGGACATTAAAACAACGAGGGAGAAGTGGCAATAGTTTACATAGTCCCAAGAGCAATATGGCATCAAACTGGCTCAGAATTTGGCAGAATACAATATGGTACATGCATCATCCAATCTCTGAATTAGAAATGCTTCAGTTTATATTTCTGAATAATTATGAGTCAAATTTTCCTCAACTGGTTTAACCAAAGTTATGTTATGTCAGGGATGAAGATAAATTTACTATAAATCATATGAAATAAAACATCTCTGTCTTCTATGTTTCTTGAACCTATAGCCTTCCTGAACTTTACAATGAACTTCTGAATTTATCTTTAACATTTAAATAAAGTATCAGACCTTATAACATAATTTGGAGAGCTCACTTCATGCATGTTCATCATATTCCATGCTTGTTCTACTCTTTTCCACTCTATTTTTGCTTTTCAAAACAAGACATGACATATTTACTACTCACATCTTCTGCAATGTTTCTAGCTAGTTTATCAAGTTTCTGTCCAGCCTCTGAGATTTTCTTGGCAGCGTTAATAACATCCATCGTGTTCTTCAATGGTCCACGACCCCTGAATGAAAAATGGGTCAATTCATTTAAAAATGTACAGGTATATTGGTTCAAAATTGAAACATATTTTTCTTTGGTTGGACTTGACTAAACATTGATGCATTTTACTGGATTGCATTTACACGATAAAAAAACTTTTTTAAAATCTCCAGTTTTGGAACAAAAATTCACTTTGTGAAATTAAACATGTTACAAAAAAAAAAAACAGACTTGGTGTAGTATAACAGGTAATTAGACAGTTTAATGCACCATTAATATTATAAAAAGAAAGCAAATTAAATGCCAGAATGTTACCTTGTGAAATCTGTCATTTCCATCATGATCATACACATCTGCTTTGCGATAACGATGATGTCATTTCCTGTTGAGTCCCACTTGAGTACCTCCTTGTCAAACCTACGTCTTTCCTCCAAGAAGTCTGCAACCTGAAAAAAATTATAATTGTTATAGTTTGCAGGCATACTATGTAATTTGGAATTTTTTGTTTATCAAAATGAGTATTGTGTTTAGAGGCAGTCTGAGTACAACAGGGTTCAGAGATGACCATTTTTTCAAAGGAAATTTACATGGAGATGACCGTCATCACTGATTGGTAAAATGAAAAATAACAAATTTTGTAAAAATGTTTCAAATAATATGATGTTAATGTCTGCCTTGTTTAATTTCACGTCAAGGTAAAGAAAGATGTTAGGAATATGCTTAAGTCAATTAAAACATCCCATCAAAGTGTGGTATTCAGAAACTAGATGGGGTTAATTCGGACAAACAAAGGTTATTAACTCCATGTCTGTTTGCTAATTCAATTCCTTTCGATTCTATTTTGCATTTTAAAACAAACCCACCTCTGCTCTGATTTTGATCTGTTGCTCTTCTGGTAGCTCTCTCATGAGTTGACGATCACTCTTTTGGCCTATGATCTCTTCTTCTGTGATGTGGCTAGCTGGAAAATTGAAATAAAACATTTAGAGATGTTCTTGTCAAGTACAGGCTTGACTGATTGGATGTGACAAAAACAGGTTTCTTTTAATTCTGATTTTACTCAACAATAATCACATACTAAAAATAAAACATGAAAAATGGTAAACTATAGAAAGGTACATTCATAATACATAAATACAAATAAATAGCATAATTTGTGCCATGACAAAATCTAACTTTTATAGCTTATTTAATGTAAGGTAACCACCCTACACATAGAGCGCGCGCAATATTACTACGCTGGCTGCGTTTGAAGAGACTATCTGGCTATTTCAAACATGGCTGAAGAGAGGTAAGTTTTCTTTCCAACATTTTTATTGTTTTTCAAGCTGTATACCAGCGATTATTGAATTTCTTAAAAGAATGATATTCAAAGTACCTACGTATGTTTGACAGCTTACTATAAAACGGCGACCTATTGGCATGTGCTGCTGAGATAAAAACAAATTCCAAAAAACCGTCAAATTATTTCCATTTATTTCTTCCTCTCGATCAACTGCTAAGCTACCAATTATCCAGATAAGCTGACAATTGAACGATGATGACCCCATCCACCATCTATGCATGTAATAAGATCCTATAATAGCCCGAATTTGTTACAGTACAAGTCCTAAGTAGAACTCTGCCGAAAATTAGGAGAGGACTACGGCGGGTGAGTATTTTATGATTCTAATGCATACTAAAATGTTTTCATTTTATTTCAGACTAGGATTCGAATGTTACTATTGCAACACAAACAGGAGGTGTAAGAATTTACAGATATGATTCATCACCTACTTGAAATGCACCCAGGCCAGATGATGAATTAAAGCTCAGAAACATTAGCAGGATCAATAACAATATAAGAATAACAACAAGAAATTTCTCCAGAATTATACCAAGTGCAGTGACAAACGCAAATGAAAGAATAATTATTGATAGCGATGAATATATGACAAAGTGTAATTAATGAAAATAAAATGAAATGTTCAAAAATTCAAAATTCAACCCAATAAAATGTCAATATGATTTAATAACACATGAAATTCAATACAATGAAATGACAACTGAAATTAAATGCAGCAAATCCTCCAATGAAATGGACACTGTCCAGATTCAAGATGAAACAACTGATTTTGATGATTCATTAATGGGCGAAGATAATGAAATGATAGTCACCGAAGAAATGATACATGTAAAATGAAAAAAAAAACGATTCCTGTTGTTGCTGAAAAACTCTCAAAAGATGAGTCAGTTGGAACATTCAGGACATTTTTGGAGCTGGTATCTAAGGATAAATTCCCCCTAGAAAACATTGCCTTCAAAAGATTTCTCGACGTAGTTGATTGGTTTGTATCCGACACTATTCAGCAAGGTCATGGCCAAAGTAAAGAGTTACACTTGAAAAAAGGTCATTATTGTTTAAAATGTTAATTACCTGTGTAAAAATTGTTTACAGAGTTCGACACTTGTATATAAATATTTTATGCACATAAGTAACTTTCTTTGGATATGCCTACATTGCAACCAAATATTTATTGGTAAAACTGCACGACATATCAAACACTGTTCAAGATCAAATGCTACCCTCCCAGGTCTACCCTTGTATAAAAGTTCAAAATTTTATAACAATTTGATATTTATAGTGGGTTATTCCACAGTCTACGTGCTTTTGATACACATGAGCACTGGATCTGTGGTCGATATTTGAGCAGTCTATCGCATCTTTCAAGTTGTAGTGTTAATCCCAAGAGGTTGATATTGACACGCGTAGTCCTCTCATCCAAAAATTTGATCTCGGGATTTCGAATGAAATTTCCTCAGGAAAAATAATGGTAAAATTCTTCAAAATAACATCAATGATGCAAAATATGTTAAGAATGTATATACTACTCTCAGAATACTTCAGTTAACGTGATAATATGAGGATATTGAGATTCTTTAGTGGAAACTTCGCGGTAACTTTCTCAATTATCAACTTTACATCGTATTTTATTCATTATGTAGGCATACTTTCCTACATTTTTGTCATATTTCTTCAATAAAGTGTATACTATATGGTTTGCAACCCATATAAGATACATTAATATCTTAAATAAGTCAGTAGGTGCTTCCAAAAAGTAAACCATGAGAAAGAAGTTGAGAAATAGCCAGATAGTCTCTTCAAATGCAGCCAGCGTAGTAATTTGCTCGCGCTCTATGTGTAGGGTGGTAACATTACACAACCAGGAGATGACAATTTAAATGTCAAAGCAACCGTTTCCAAATATATTTTTCATAATGCATAATCTAGAAATCATTTTAACAATATGTAAAAAAAATTAAAATAATCAGTTTTACTTGTAAAGAATGAATTAGACCTAAATAATGCATGTTAAAAGAACTAAATAAATACAATAACTGGCATTTAACTTTCAAAATAAATAACTGCAATAAAATGAAAAATTGATTTAGCAGTTAGTGAAAATTAGAACTTAATGTACATGCATCACTAAGTATTATAGAGGATACAAGAGTTGGTTTACAACATACATGTACAAAAAGTAGTGTACATGTACAACATAGCGGGCTGAGGAGGTATTTAACATTGGATAGGTTTAGGTGTTTAAAAGCATGCATATAATCTGGAATTAATAACTAAATTAACAAACAATTAACCTATTCCCAGTTTTAACAGTTCAACACATAGCTCCAAGAAAACATATACAATTAAATGGGCAAAGACAGTATAGTGCCTGGATCCACAAAATTTTAACTATTGGCTTGAGAGACTGAGACATTCTTGTAGCAATGTGTGTTACTGTTGAAGTTGTTTACAGTAAAACTATACATTTGTAATATTTCACTTCAGATATTGTGCAGTGTGGATTTTGTGCAGGTATTGTTTCAAAACACACAACTTTATCTTCTATATAAATAGTTGGCCAAAATGAGTACACAACTTTATTCAAGCCCTCTTTTAATTTTCCAGGATAGCTTGTGTATGATATACCATTGGGTAGTTAATTTAATATATACATTCATGATACATCATACAAAAGCAATACTTGAACAAGGTATTGACATGCAAAGTGTTAACACCTGCCATTTGTTACAGATGCTGTAACACAGACGCCAAACGCCTAACATCATCCATAACAAAGTTGGAGACTACAACAATATGTCTAGTGGTGACATTTAAACTATAAAATTAGCTTGGAAGTGTACTCATTTTTATCGGCCTACCCTATATTTTAACTAAACTAAACCTATCAACAAGTACAGATTTCTAGACTACTCATATTACCTAGGACAAAATTAATTTTCTACTTCAACTAAAAAGTCAGTTTAATCATAGTTTCACAAACCCTAGATTTGCAAAAAGTTCAAATAATCAATATAACTCAATACCAAGAGCTAAAAGAAGTAGCTTATGTCAGTCTCTAGTGTCTAAAAGGATTAATCATTCTAAAGTACAGTCAGCTTGCTAAATAAATCATGTGTTCAACTATATTCGAGATAACCCAAGGGATATAATTGTGAAAAACTACTTTTTAATTGAACATTTATTAAAGGTCAATGGTCCCAATGCTTTAGAAATACGATTTGCTGGACTTAGTGGCCACTACAGTCTAATGCCTGACCCCCAAAATATATTGTAAAAGAATGTTGTTTCAAATTTTTGAAATTGTGTATTAGACTGTATTCATTAATTCTAATACAAGTAGAGAAATGAATAAAAAACTCGTCATGTGGGAAAATAGCTTAACTCAATTTTAATAAATCAAAGCTATAACAGGTTCCTCTCGTTAAAAGTGACAACACATTCTTCCCTCATTCTGATACTCATAGCATCTTTCTGTTTCACCTGAAACATCTCAGGGCTGAGAAGAAATTAGATGTCATGGTATATCATGATGTTCTTCCCTAGCTATTACAAAACTTGTAACCAAGCATCACATATTTTTCCTGCCTAACAATAGGGCATCACTATTAGAAACACGTGATATTATTGCCTAGCAACAAATAATTCAATGCCTAATGAATGTAACATTACAATGGATGGGACAATGACATTTTATTAGTAAAAAATGTTGACTTCTTTTTTGAATTCTAGTGAAAAGTAATCAAAATTTTTGAATTTTGATATCTGGCCTCAAGAAATGGAGGATCAACCATAATGAAATTGAATTAGTTTTCAACATTTGGAGACCCTCCTATCCAAGTTTAGATATACTAGTCCTGAATCAATTACTATGTGAGTATGCTGACCTCATTAGGAGACAATGATTCAATTGAAAGAGCATGCAAGTTTGTTGGTCAAATCTATTTCATACATATACTTCATTGAGGTCCATGCTTTTCTCTCTTGGTATTCTTTCCAGTCTCATAAATTCCAAAAATCAACGATTTTTTAACTTCTCTCTTTTCCATGCCCTCACCACATTAAAAAATAGTGGCTACATAGGCATGGAGAAAGCTATACCCATAATAGGAATGAGAGGGGGGCATGAACATGTTTAATTGAGAGAAGAGCATGAATGTCTAGATATTGTATGTAACATGAGTTATTCTATAAGTAAAGGTGCAGGGCATGCTGCTTTAATATGTTATAATAACAGTTAACAAGAACTCTGTATTGAAATGTCACCATGGCATATAAAAAATTGATAATGTTTAATAAATAGTTTTTTCAATGAATAAAAATTTATAACAGTGCATGTGAAATTCATATTTAATGCATAATTTCTTGCTGACATAAAAACATACAACCAGGTGACACAACTAGTGGAGCACCCGGTTGAGAATTCTGCACCCATTTTAGAAATGTAAAGTTCATGAGAATTTTTAGTTTGGGTGTTCTGAATATTTCTTAATCAGTAAAATGAGAACCTTGGGAGGAAGACTACAGAATGAAATTTGTTGTATTTCACGTTGAATTTGGAATTGAAATTTGGAATTGTTACCATGGTGACAATAACACAGATGTGCAATTTCTACATTGACTATACAACTACCAGTATCATCACGATCATAATCCAAAGCCAAAGTGACGTCGACTTCTGTGTTAAGAACTCTATTATATGTGCTTGGCTGACTCGCTAAAATTAAAACAATCATTTATAAGGCATGTGTAGTAAATCTGATCCTGGCAGCAATTAAGACTAGCAGCCTGAAAGGAAAAATCCGAATACTTTCCTCGAATTTTTAATTTCTACAGGGTGATCCAAAAACTGCTTCCATTTTTGGGTCACCCTGTATAGAAAGATAACTTTCTGCATATTTCCTTGTATTTAGCATATTTTCTCCTCTATTTATTTGGATAATAAAGAAAGAATCAGAAATATGACATAAACGAATATGACATCTTAATCTAGCCAATATACCCCAGTTTCTTTGGTTCAACAAAAGGGGCCAGGATTTATTGGAAAGGTATATTGTAAATATTGCTTACAGTTCTATCACCGTCTCTCTATCTGATTCTACCTTTAATAGCATACACAGTGCTACATTTCTGAGAAGCAATAAATGCAAATTTGATGACCAGCGTAGCATACATACAGTGCTTAACTATACATCTAAACATATATCCCCATGCTCCTATATGCACCATACATACATACATACATACATAAATGACTGCTTTTAAGCTTAGGTATTGTTACAATATTGTTAAGTTATGACAAAATTTTTCACATTGACTGAAAAATATTGATATGTTGATTGTACCCCAAAGAATCCCCAACATTGAAAGTGGAACTTTCTTAATTGATAAGATAAATGTTTAAATATTGAAGAAGTTGGACCCATCATTGTATTTTTGGAACTTTAAACAATATTGATATCATAATTTTGTATCTAATTGATTTTTTTAATTAATCTTGCATTGGCCACAATTACCTCAATAATTACCTCAAGTTTATTTTTCACTATAGAGCTGAAACATCTCCAGATATCATAAGCCTATGAAAGCATATTTCTATGCTCTATGGCATTCATTTTTCCCCATGCCTTAAATATATGTCCGGTCATGGTTATTCCATGAAATTTCTCTCTAAAATTTGAATGAAGTGTTTGATTTTCTTGCATTTCCATACAATTTGGAGTGTCATCTACATGCCTGTTTACTTTATTCCTTGCTGATTTCACTCATTTCCACTCTATTCATCATTTTAAAACTTGACCGTCATGACAGTTTTTAGTGATCCAAAATATTTCTTAAGGAATGTATACTTACAATTCATGCTTCTGTTTTCATAGTCATCATACTCATATTCTACCTCAGATTCCGTGTCAAGCTCATCTGGGCCCTATAGAGGAAAATGCTTTTAAGTCTCATATAAACTTATTTAAAGGCTTATCCGATACTCCTCCCACTTCATGATTCTAATCAAAAATTCATCAAGAAATAATTTTCTCAAAATCAAAAAAAAAACAAAAAACAAGCTGGTTATGGTGTTAATAAGGTCTGAATTTAATATGCAGCTCAAATCTGGCCAGCCTCTTTAAATAGTCATGATTGCTTGTAACACTTGTTGTTCAAGACTGAAGGAGGTAATTACTATCTGTGGGCTTCATATCCAGTTTAAGTTGAAAGAAGCCTGAAAAAATATTTCTTTGAATTTTGGTGAGGCACTGCCTCATGTCTGACTACGCTCTGGCTGACTATAGGTATATTCTTTACTAACTCTGTTCATGAGGACTGCACGACGTATATCCCTGACGCCATCATACACGAGACGTGAGGCATCGATGAATTCATTCTCATCTACTTCACGTGGAGGTCTGGAAGAGAGGCTGTCCACTGCAACTTCTACCTTCTCAGCAAAGTTTGGCATCACTGAAAGAGAGATAATATGTGAAATTCAGAGATATTACCTAAAGGAATTTCTTGTCGAGGCCAAAGTGACATGTAATCAAATACATAAATCTAAAGGTTTCACAATCAAGGACAAGATACCATTAGCGAAGGTGAATCAAATCTGACCAAGCCCTTAGTGCGAACAAAACATACCTTGATCACGCAACATTGAGACAGCATCAAGTACTCTCTCAGTGTAAACTCCAGGCTCATAATTGTCCATCTCAGCAGTGACAACATTACACACCCTTGCGGAGCGCCCCCTGATGGCCCCTGCTGTACGATCGAGAGAGTCTGCATCACCTTCTTGTAGTGCAAGCACACATTTGTTGACATCTTCGAGAATATGACTCTCTGGAAATTAAACACACATGAATTGTGGGTAGGTGTACAAAAAACAAATCAATTTTCTTATTCACAAGATGTTCATTATTTCAGTCAAAATTCATCCCATTCTTGACTATAGGATTATCATTTGTGAAAGCCCAAAAATTCAGTGGAAAGATATGAATCGAATTTGTAAAAAATTCTCAAAAATCAAAAATTACCCGATACAGCCAGGAAGTCGTCAATTGTGGTGATGTCATCAACAGCTTCTGTCAATATACGAACTTGACGCTCCCAGGTCTCTTTGAACACATCCATGTTTTCCTGTGCAACCTTTGACTTTGGTCTTGCAGCAAGAATTCGGGCTGCATTAATTACCTGTCAATTTGAAATTCACAAAAATTAAACCAGTATCTTTAATTAGCAATGGGCCTTTCATTTAGGATAATGTTTTAATCTATTTTCAAATCCTAAAATATCCTCATTCAGTAATATTGGAACTAGTCTGAATTTTAATTTTGTTCTAATTACAATAGTTTTTTAAAATCACCAAACTTAAACAAGATATCTAAAGGGGCTTTCTAGTTGTCAAACTTATGGAAGAGGAATGTACCTGTGGGCAGAGGCTCTCTATTTGTGCTGCAGCCATACGAACCATCTTTACTCCCTCCTCATTGTTAGACATGGAGCAAGCAAGATTGGCAACCTAAAGATGTAATACAAATCTCATTCCTGTATTTATGAATGTTTTCATGAATCTTAAACAAGTTAAGTATCTCTCATCTAAGGAAGATGTTAGACATTAGCTAAACAATTAAATGTTTATTTATTTGTCTCCTACTATACTAAACCAAATCATGAGTGCATATGACATAAGACCCACCTCTACAAGTTTGTTGGCATGTTCAGTGAACACTGCGGCATATTCCTCCACTTCTCTCTCTTTGCCAGCCTTTGCTGCTTCTATCAACACCAGGAGGGGAACATTAGTCTCCAGGAACGAATCAGAGACATGATCAACAACAGCCTTGCGTAACTGGCGACGTAGATCACGTGTCTTCTTGCACATGTTCTCAATGGCTCTGTCCAGAGAATCGCTAGGATCGCGACGTCCAGCCTGAAATAATACATATATTCTATGATAACATGTAATTATACATATATTCTATGTTAACATGTAATAATAATATATTCTATGTTAACGTGTAATAATACATATATTCTATGTTAACGTGTAATAATACATATATTCTATGTTAAAATGTAATAATACATATATTCTATGTTAACATGTAATAATACATATATTCTATGTTAACATGTAATAATACATATATTCTATGTTAACATGTAATAATACATATATTCTATGTTAACATGTAATAATACATTCTATGTTAACATGTAATAATACATATATTCTATGTTAACATGTATACAGCAGTAATGTAATTCTTCATTCCATCTGTTCATTGGACAAGCAATTGAAGTAAGACACAAACTGATTACTCTCTGCAACTAACATTATAAGATCAAATGTGATAGCCCCTCTCTAAAAATTGTGGATGGGAGTTCAGATTGATCCAAAAGGCTAACTCTATCACCATAATACTTCAGACACAGTAATAATACTTTAGACACAGTAATAATACTTTAGACACAGTAATAATACTTTAAACACAGTAATAATACTTTAGACACAGTAATAATACTTTAGACACAGTAATAATACTTTAGACACAGTAATCATACTTTAGACACAGTAATCATACTTTAGACACAGTAATCGTACTTTAGACACAGTAATTTTATTATCTGTATTCAAGTTAATTCATTCAATCTAACATGCAAAATAAATGCAAACAAATGCACTACTATATTATGAAATGGATTGATTATTGTAATATGAACAACTTATGCTTTCGAATCTTCATAATTTATGCAAGAATATTTACATCCCATGTAACAATTGTGTGATATAAAAAATCTGTAAAATGCATGGATAAAAGCATAAGTTTCAAATGTGATTTTGTTTGGTGGTACCATTTTATACTCAATGTTACTCCTATGCAAAAACTCGTAGAAATTAGTTAATACAAAATTTCTATAATATTCACAGTGTTAAAAAGCATTCACTATTATTAAACTTATTACTGATTTTGGTCAAAAATATTTTATCTAAAGTTCAAAACTGTAATTTGTACTGCTCAGGAAATAGTGTCTACCATGATTCTCAAGGACATAAACATTCCCCTCACTAATATGGAAGGCCAGTTCCCAAAAATGTTTTAATACAATGAGTGTCTAAAAATGTACCATATGATTTGGTCATTGTATTGGAGGGGTCTACCCTTATATTTATCAGGAACATGTGAAAATTTGACAGGCCCTCCTCTAATTAAGGCAAGTTCAACAATTTCAATTACAAAAGATAAAAGAACTAGAACACCATTAAGTGATATCTTTTTTTGAATTAGAACTTTTGGTTAATATAAAACAAAGGACAATTCAATTGCAGCATTCAGTTTAATAAAAAAAATGCAGTTTTATTTTAGTTGTAGTTCATGCTTAACAAAATTGATGTTTTCTTTCATCAGGTTTCTAATCTGTTCTTGCACCATGTCCTTGACAACGATCTTCATTAAGAGTTATGTTTAGTAGGTCAAATATAAAAGGGAGAATGCTGACATGCTCGGTATGTATTGAATTCAGGCTATTGTTATAAGCTTTGTGTTGTATTGGTAGTATTTATACAAGGTCGCCTTCAGGGACGTTAACTTTCAGGTCTGAAAACAATTTCAAGAACCCCCTAGGAAGACACCCCATACAAGTTATGAAGTCGAAATTCTTTTCGTCAGTAGCTGAAAATCATGCCATGCTGTAGACTTTACCTGACCATACTTCGCTGGCTTCTTGCACTGTAATATCAAATCAATATTAGAAATCCACTTCATATTACACAATAGTTCAATACCTTACTTGACTTCATGAATCGCTGCCTCGATTTGTGTAGTGACTGAGATAATTAAATTTCCACTTCCCATGATTAAATGATATGAATACAAAATAATATTAACAGTAGTAGGTTGAACTGTAAATAATTACCATATCATATTTATTAACTCATTTTTTCCATTGAACACTTTATTTAAAATACATGAACCAGATGGGCAGAATAGTAGCTTGAAGAGGGGTATAGTATAGTAGCTTGGAATTGTGAATAGTGATTAAAAAGGGGTAGAACTATTTACTTACATTATGCATGTATTCAGACAGAAGGTCCTGTAGAGCTTGGCGTACATTGTTACATTCAGCCACAATTCTTTCCCGTCTCTCATCACGTGTGCAAGAGGAGTCGGCCATTAATGCTGCCCCGCTGATTATACTCTCCAGACGCTCTTCCAAAGATGGGCGACTTCTGACCTCGTTATATGTCATGGGATCCATGATGACCTTTTGCTATAACATAATGTTGCAATTAATTTAAACTAAACTTCAGATTGATGCCGACATTTCAAGAGAATTCTGAATTTGTTTTGCAATTTATAGACGATGTTCTAAAGCTCAACAATCAACATTGACCAAACATTACATTTTACCAGTCTCATAATTCATATTGAATTTTCACATGATACTACTGGTTTAGAGACTTGACTGGGGGTTTGTTTGCTTTTTATTTGGTGAATTATTTTATTTTATCTGATTATATACGCCCCTCGGGATGTCTTTTTCATGTCATTGATGAAATGTTGTATGATGTAATTTTGAATGAATAAATTGAATTGAAATTGAAAATCATAACTAACATCAAATTCATCAAGGGCAGCAGCCAGTTCCCCAGCTCCTTCATAAGGATGTGCCTCTGATTGTCCAGATGCCTGGGCAACACCGGATATTGTGTCAACAGCATCACACACTTGCTTCAGTACATAATCTCTATTAGCTTTGGCTGCGGCTAGCTCAGGGTGGCGAACAAATGCCTGAAAAATAAATATCCTCGCATATTTACCACAACAGAGTTAGCCAGATTGAAACAGGCTTTCTGGGCAATTATTTTGGGCCTTTAATACAATATGATTACACGTATATAATAAAAGACGATTGACCAGAATATTTCATATTCATGATATTCATTGTACCTTGTTGTCACAGGTTCATATTATATTGAATAAATGAGCTAAAAATACACTCTGACATTTCTATTAAAACGTTCCAGCAGGTTATAATTCAGAATCAGAAAGTTCGCAGTGATTCAATAGAAGAAGGTATAATGTTTATTTCTAATATTGTACACAAATTATGGATAAATTAAGAACTTTTGCAAAGCTTAGGCTCGCTCCGCTCGCGTGTTCGCTTTACTCACGCTTCGAATCGCGTATTCGCAGTAACAAGCACCACACCCTAATTTTTTTCTGGTGAGAGCCCTGAGACTGTATATAAATATAAACCCTCACATATGTGTCCCATCTCCAATGACAGTTATGAGTGAAACAACATGCAATTGATTAAAACCTACAATTATGTAAGCATTTCTAAAAAAAATATAGGCTTTCAAGAAAAATTCATGTAAGATCTGGACACATTATATAAGAACTTATTGCTCAGTCCTTGTATATACATATACCAAGGGTGGTGCTTATATATTAAAAAAATATCCACCCAACTCAAGTAGGAGCAGAATTGAGTAGATACTTTTACAGATACCTATACTGTATAAGCCAAGTTCAAATTTCATAAAGTATCAGATCATAGTGACTGATTCCCTTATGTATTTTATATTAGCGTACTGGGAGCTTATTAATCATGAGCATTGAGAATATAATATAAGTTGAAGGTATACTTATGATTAAAAACATGCAATTGCAATTCAGAAAAATAGCTGACATTACAGAAAAGTGTGGATCTGAGACTATTGTGTACATGGTATAAATCATTTTAAAAAAAACTTTTTTAAAAAATATAGAGTATACAGGAACATCTGTATATCTGAACACCTCTCCAGATCTTAACACTTTCTCTTGACCCCAATTTTAAATCTTACACCGACTCCTATCTTCAAGAAAACTTATAACATGAACATCTGGTAATTGGAACACTTTCGGCTGGTCAAGTGGCATTCTGACGAGACAAGTTTTACTGTATCTTCTCTATGACATTTGCCAAATTGACATGTTGATGATTTATCACTCCCTATAAAAAATTATTTTACTATCCCATGGTTTTGTTTTTGGTAAAATCATAATTCACGATCCCGCAAAAACTATTGTCCACCTTTTGACGAATAATAACTTGCGACCAAATTATAACGAAGATTTAATCTTGATTCTACACAGTTTTATACTTGTATATCCATTAGAACATATAGACACTGCTTCTGATGACAATTTTCATAATCAATTCTATACTCCGTATTCATCTACTAGGTGTAATATGACATAGTCCTAATATGTACTCTATGTTATTTTTTATCCGTTGTTAAATGACATCATTTGGGAAGCATATGGTTCAACAAATATTACAATTCCCGCCATCCATGAAATTCAATAGGCTTTAAACTGTTGCCAATTGTAGCATCACAATGGCATGCATCTATTCTATATATTCTTTTCCAAAATGAGTGGTAGAAAGACGATAAAATTTGTGAGTGATGCTGCTATTTGTGATGTGGTAAAATAGTGCTAATCGCGATTAAACTGAGTGGTTCAACTAAATTTAGTGGACTGGTGAAATTTGTATCGTGGCAGTATTCACCAGTCCACTCAACATTCGCCAATGAAAACCAATTGGTACTTACGAATTTTATTTTTCTGGTCTATGCACACTGTAATATGAGGCAGCTTAAGAATTTGCTTCCATTTCTTGCTCTTTCCTTTGCGTTTACCTCCACCCCCTGAAAAATAGAAGCAGCTATTATATTTTTGGTCATCTCATCTAAAATCCAAATATAGTAGTAGAAACGGTTGAGAACATTTTAAATCATAACTATCAAGGAATAAAGCAAGTTGCCGTGGAGATAACACTAAAATTAATTAGGAAACGCCTCAAAATCAGAGATTTCACTGAAATTTGAGGAAAATGGTGCCTTTGATCATTTTCATCTTATTCTGGTGGTTATTTAAAAAATGGAATGATAGATGGACAGAAAGAAGAGCAGACAATTCCAGAGGCGTACATATAAATGGGACTAAATGGTGATACCTGAGACAAAGGATATATGATCTAATCTAATCATACAACAGTGAATAGTTATTAAATATAGTCTAATGACTATTATGTTTAACAACACTATCTAGTATACATAATTATACACAAAGAAGAACCAATTAAGTAGAACACCTCCACATTTTCTCTTAACTATTACTTTAGGTACTGTAAATCAATCTGTAAACAGAGCACCTTCGAAGCAGAAAGCTAGTTTGTAAAGTGAAACACCTCTGCATGTGCAACATTTTCAAATTCTAGTTAGACCTCTGTAAGTGGAACAGCACCTAAGATGAACACTATTGCAGGTATCTTATACAGGTTTATAGTATTGGTTTGAGTCTGGTAACGTGTATATAATAACAGGGTCCAGAAACGTGACAAATATTAATAATAATGAGACTGTGTCATTACTCACATGAACAAGCACCTTACTTAACTGAATTACAATTCTTAAGAATGATTCTACTTCATTTGCACCAGCAATGATTAACATTATCATAAATCCATCCATCTTATATTATATTGACCAAATATAAATGTGGGATTAATAAGATGTTTAGTATATATCTCGTTTGATTTTGTCTCTGAAAGAATTTCACTTCCACCCGTGAGTTAAAGATGATCCTTTGATCGAGCCTTAACCAGTCAGAATACTGAGGATATTTCCAAGTTTGATTTTACTTTTTTAAAAGAGAACTTCATCCTTATTTATGTACAAGGCTCTTATAGGGTATAAGAACTTTTTTCGCACATAAAGTTTGTGATTGGAAATACTCGACAAGACAACATGTACACATCATGTGAAATCACCACCTTCTATTCTATCAATTTCTTTCTAGATTCACTAGGGACATATAAAAAGTATCAGCATGACACTGACCTTTGTATGTGTGTGTCTGTGTTATATTTTAGATTACATAGTCATTTATGATGTTGCATTACCAGATTAGTTATTTAAATATTAAATTCTTATTAAGTTTCTGATTAAAACATGGTGATGAGTAAAGTTGCAGAATAAGTAAGGACAATTATTATCATTTTTGCAGACGGTCGAGAATGCATTTAACGACCAGCAATTTTTCCCGGGAAATTAGATATCGTCCAGTACTTAGGATTTTCTTGCTGTTTCAGTCCTGGTCATTAATGGTGGTAATAATACTGCCCTTCGAAATGACGTTATTGTACTATTCTACTCACAATATACACGGTGACTGATAAAGGGGTCTGAATACAAATAAATATAAATAATAAATAAAATAAAAATATAAATACAATAAAAATATCAATACTGTATATATTTTAGACAATGTTTATTGTATGATGATGAATCAAAAAAGTGAATTTCTTATTTCTTATTTGTATGCATAGTAGCAAGTATTGATTTACACTGCCATCCCACACACAAAAAGTCAAGGTTGCGATGATTTAAATGTAAAAAGTAAAAGCTAGGGCAATGAATGAATATGAAATTAGATCCACAGTCAACACTGTTTAAATTATACAACTCTGCGTAAAAATCATATACTTGTACTTTATTTAAACTTTATAAAGAAATAGAAAACAAAAGGAAACAGCAAAAATTTATTTTCAACGGGATAGTAATATGTGTAGGTTGTGGTTGACCTTATATGACATCATCTTTTTAACATTTTCTGGCAGGTTACCTTTATTTTTTCATTCATCATTATATCGTACTTAAAGATATCACAAACGAATTGGTAAAATAATACACAAGGCAAAACAGTCATTCAGTTCAAGTGTGCGGGAATAAAATATGCCATATTATAGTCATATTATCTTCATTTTATTTTCACATATCTCCAAATATATTTCACATTGAGAATTCGAGAGAAAACATTATCACAATGTATGTTTGATATCCATGAACCCAAACTGGTGAAACAACATTTATGTTATAAGGCTTATATCAGATAAAATGCAATCTGCAAAAACAAATGGTGATAATTTTGTATATTAAATAATTGTATTATTTTCAAATATTATTATCACATATGTATTTCAGTCACAAATAAAGCACAAGATAGCATACACTGTTTGGTTATCACTTTTTTATTATATATTATCACTATAGCGTGAGATGAAACAAACATGTACAATCAACAGGCAAAATGGCACTACCTGCCATTTGTTACAGGCACCATGTCATTTGTTACATATGCTGACCGCCAAACACCGTCCACCAAAAAATGGAGATTATAACAACATGTCACCACTTCTGGTGATGACATAATAAGAGAATGACGGACATTTAATGGTGATTCTGGTGCAAATTGGTGTATTATTTTGAGATTTTTGCATAGCCCAGTTTGCATCTTTATCTGGTTTCAGAACTTTTGGCTCATATTAGACATTAAAGGAACATGCCCTTTAATGCACCTTATAGGCTCTCGGTAATCTTTATTGCTTAGTTGACAAGTATATGTGAATACAAGTTGGACTTATCTGAATGGTATCACTGTCAGTAAGAGATTACAATTTCGGGGGGGGGGGCAATTTCGGTACCCCTTGATATTATTTCCATGGGAAGTTTATTTATCAACATACCAACTACAAGATTCTAACTGTATTTGTTGATTTTATAATAAAATTAATATTTAGATAGATGAGGTGAAAAATTCATAAAGTGTTGAATGATTGAAACAAAAGGGTTCTCTATATATCATGCCCACCATGAAAATATCATCCTAATTTTTACAACCTGAACTCCTCTAATACCCTGTTTCTGAACTCATCTAATACTGAGCTGCAATCTGTTTTCAGCCCATTAGTTTTCAATTTCAATTTCAAGTCGAATGTTGCATTTTTTATTGAAAATCCAAAAATAAGCCAGATGCAGGAGAAAAAAACATGAAAATAAGGCAGCATGGTAAAGGTTTATCACAATATTGTAGAATTCATCTTCTTAATTACCTCGAAAGAATTTCTAGCTTTTTATCAGTAATTGATTTCATTTTGTATCTAAACATATCTACTCCTATTATTTGCATGGTATAAACATAAATTGTATATATTAGTATTACACGAGGGTATAAAATATATAATAAATACGATGATATTAAGGCATAGCATGTAACACTTTCCCAGTAAAATCAAGTCGTGATTATGATTCTGTCACTTTTGGATCTTCTCAAAATTGACATGTACAGTAAAATTTTAAATGTTAGGAACTACTTTGAATTTAAAAAATAAGCAATCAAATGACTATTATGCATCAGTATATGAAAAAAATGGAAACATATCTACAAGTCTTAACTTTTTTATATTTCAGATAGTTATGTATAATGTGCAGCAAAGCTATGGCCTTTTGTAATTTAGAGAGTTTCAGCCATGTTAATGGCAGAGAAGCATCAAAAGTAAGGACATGTAAAAATGTTTCTATTTTTACATATTCTGTTTCAATATGGTCTTTTAATTGCTTATTTTTAGATTCAAAGTAGTTTCAAACATTTAAAATTTTACTTTATTCCATAGTTACCATGATATTCATAGGATAACATGTCAAAATAAAAACGGTATTTTTGTAATCAGTGGTAAAATATGATATTTTTGACAATTTTTCACTTAATCATAGCATACGGTGTTTAAGCCATGACATACGGTATGCTATGAATTATGGATTTTTGCTACTTCAGACTCAAAACGAGGCTAAAAGTCAACATCACCGGATCGTTTTGAAAATTCGAATTACATCACTTAATTTTCAACGATTCTGATGATGGCTTTAACTATGGAATAAAAAGAACATCCTATGATTTACTCATGATACAGGGTCTGACCTTAACTTTTTTTACCAGTAGCAAGGATTTGCTACCTTCTACCAAAACAAGGAGCAAATTCTCATATTCAGGTAGCAACAAAAATGCTCCAAGAAACGTTATCAGGTAGCAAATTGCTCCTCAAATTCTATTCATGTCTTAAAACGAATCCCCGGTTATTTCTCGCCTTTTTGCACTGAACGAAATGACAATTTTTACGTTCAAGAGTCGTCTGAGAACAATTTGTGGTTTTTCAGACCAAAATCCGCATGTTTTCATTGAAAATAGGAGAATGAATCATCTAATCCTAATAAAGGTAGTATAATCAATTGGGGGGAAACAAATTATAGCGTATTTGTCGATGAAACATGTTATCGTGCAGGCGACATTTTTTCGGCAAGAAATTCTGTTTCGCTAAAGCGAGTAAAGTCGAATCAGTGATGTTATCTTATTTTGTTTCATTTTGGGATCCGTATCAACCAATCAGCGTTGAGGTTGTATATCGCTATCGGAAATACGATGAAAAAATATCGGGAGTGGTAAGTTCCATTGATTCTATGCGATAGAAGGGTTGAAATACATGAAATTCGTTGCGTAAATTTGAGGTAGCAAGCATTTGCTCCCGGCCACGAAGTTTTTGGAGCAAAATGTGAAATCAGGTAGCAAATTTGCTCCTTGCTACCACTAAGATCGAACCCTGTGATCGAACTGTGATCGAACCCTATTGATATCTCTGATATCTTGCTACGCTCGCTCGTGCAGATATCATATCCATTCGTGCATTTATTTTGATATATGCAAAGTGCGAGAACCCTATGTCTTTATGGCACTTTCACTGATCTTGAATATCCTATAAATGTCCCCAACGGCATAGAAATGTTATATTTTTATTTATTTGGAGATCGAGGGACATGAAGAGGTTACAAAGATCAATGAGCTGAATGAACAGGTGGAAATTGCAATTTCGCGAATCTATTTGCAGAAATTCATGATATGCATTCAAAGCTTAAGGAATGATCGATACAAGGCTGCGCTTTACACATATGAATGTAATGTAGTATGAATATATGTGGGAAACCAAAATATTTTGCCATGTCCATTTTTTATTAATTTTGGCTTCCGAAATTGGGTCAACATTTAACATACCTTCTCTGGCTTTTAAGTACACCGTGTTCGCAACAATGTTCTCCAATTCCATGGTTGCAGACTTGGCTTGATGTACCACACCTAAGGGGTAGGGAAATACCCCGAAAGCAACCTTTTAGCCAAGGTTTTCTCCGAGAACTATTGGGTGTGGTGATCCAATATGGCTGTCAAAACCGGAACTCGATCTTCATTAAATTTGATTGGCTTAGAATTTACGTACGTCATGAACGACCACACATCGGTTATTGGCAGGTCTAGGTCAATCACCTTCACTTTGCTACTCTTGTAATGTCTTTCTGATGGAAATCACCCAAATAAACGTTGAAAATATTTGTCTGAATAGTAATTTATCATTTGGTCTCAACCAAAAGTATCTTTATGATACCAAATACACAAATATTCTAGCGTTATATGTAATGTCTCAATCTGATCAACCACGATTCTAAGTATGCGGCCAAAGTAAACTTTTTTGTCATATTTGTCTGCACATTCTAGTTTTCAGATATTGTACATGGAAAATAGTGAATAAACCTCTATGTACTATATCGTTTGTGATCTATGATGCAACTTTTCATTGTCTCTCTTCTGGACATCATGACCATACAGTATTAGTTATGGATGAGCTTGGTTGTGGGCGATTCAGCACAATCAATATTATAAAATCTTGATCTTATTTAACTAGTATGGATGATTTCAGCTTACATTTGCTTCAAAATTCACGTGACCAAGAACATGAAACGATATAAATATTGTTATGCAAATATTTATTATTTAATTCATATAAAAACAATTGTGTTCATAATTGTTAATAACATAAAAACATGCATTTTACACAAATGGTCTATATATGATATAATGAATGTTTGACCATGAGACGTGTAAGGGTATACATACAATTTCTAGACTATGTACATGATTATTCAAATATAATATATTATTCATATTGTGTTTACATTTGATACCTAATTGAATCAATCAGAATCATATATAGTAAACCCAAAACAAGTTTAACTTGAATTCTGAAGATAATGCGAAAAAGATTATACATCAAAGTAATTATTAGTAAAAATCTCAAATGACACAAAGTCAGTCTATATAATTTATGAAGTTCTAAATGAATTACAATTGTACAAATCAGAACAATTTATGGAAAATACCATGATAATAGAAATAAAATGAAGGTGTGTATCCTTGAACAAATGACTACTATAGTATCAGTATAATGAATGAGGGTTGTTCAATAAAAAGTAATACAGATTTCATTAGCATTTATTGAATGACCCTTGTTTATCATCCCATGTAAAGCCTAGCTCAAATGACAAATAAATATAAGTTCAATTATATACAAGAGGAAAGTTGTACATTACAATTTTGAGTTTTCAAACTTCAGTAAAACCTGTAAAGTAGAACACCTTTGAAGGTAGTACACCTCCATTAATGCACCATTTTTCAAGATTTTCAGTCGTCAATTAATATTAAGGTATCAAATGTGTATGTTCCACTTACACATCTTTTGCTGTCAATAAATCAAGTTGGCTTTGCCTCACATATTTGTCAATGCAAGTTTTGTGAGCAACAATGAAAAGCAGTCTGGCTATAAAAGTAAACTCTAGTCTAAAATTTCATCTAAGACCAAATACATAACTTTTTCAAGTTTAACTCTTTCATGTCTGAGAACAACTCAACAAATTGTCTTGATAGACCTTAAATAGTTAACATGACATCCAAAATCAGAGTTTTATAAGCTAGCATATAAGGTGAGCAATTGAGGCAAGAATTCTTTGAATATATATGTCATTCTCCCTTATTTGGGAAATGTTGACTTCCTTCCTTAAAGCCTGACCACAAGATTCCTTAAAGCCTGACCACAAGATTACTTTAAGTCCAACCACAAGTTTATATGATGTGGCACTTGAGGTTTCAATTTCTGAGACTCATCCATAAACAATGAAAAACATTTCAGCATGATATTTCGAGTGGTATCTAAGTATTAGTTTACCAATGGCATGTCCTTTTATATCACTCATTGACCCGTGCTGTGGAAATAAGAATGTTTACATTTCTCTCATCTACAAGGTGGGCCAAAAGTGCCACTTTCATGGTACACTGGGTGAGAATGACTAGGGTTTTAACAGCTGTGCAAAACAAGTACATGTGTACTAACAGGTGGCTGTTTTAATACCACAGATGGCAAATTCAAAATTGAACAGTCTATTGGTCTACAGAAGCAGCAATAAAAGTGAATTTTTAAGAAACATGCTAAAAGTAGATTACATAGCTTTACTCAACTGGGGGCCATGCAGAAACTTCGTTAAGTTAAGAATTAGTTTAGTCCATTGTTCTCTTACTGTGACGTCATTATATCCATGGTTACAACAATTGATTTACAAATTTGTAACTTAACAAAGTTTCTGTCAATGACCCCCAAATATACATCTAAATACCACATCTCAACCTGTCATGGTTAAATCCAACATTTTCAACTGAATTTACAGCCTGATTTTTACAGGGCTATTGAATAAAGCATTTGCAACAATAGTTAATCACTTTTAATCTCCTGCTGATTTTACTGATCTGGCAAACCCTTTCAGATCTTTTACACGTGACATTGTTTATGCATAAAGCTATTGAAACATTTTGGACTTGCACTAAAAATATACATGAACTAATGTGACATTCACATAATGGGAAGACAAGTAGATATTACATGTATTGTACATATATAAGGAATATTATGTTATAGCTCAAACATGTCAAAGCATCTTGCACCATATCATTTTCAACAAAAGCACAAATTGTACGAGAAATGAAAAACTGATGCCACCATCTGTGATGCAACGGCATGGCTTATAGTGGGAGGGAAGGGTCATAACATTTTAATGACAACACCCCCCTCCTACCACAATGTCATCTTGGCAGGATCTTGCTATTTTGTGCTGATATGTTTTACTAAAGTTCACATACTCCATTTATGTTGAAATAATCCAGCTATTTCTACAATTCCTAGTACTGAATATTGCTGATGGTTAAAAAATTAGTGGAATTCAATTGTCATTAGTTTTCTTGGAATTCACTAAGAGCCTTTATTGGTTCTATTTTCTTTTTCTGTGCACTTTTTCGTACTTTTGCACGTAGCTCGTCTGGGTTTTCCCTTCTTACGAGTGGTTTCTTCTCGGGGGCTTTCATCTTCCAAGATACTCTTGTATAAGCCTGAAAAAGAAATAATTCCACAGTAATAATGATTCCACAAAACAATATGATACAATATGAGAGTCCCAATATGACATAGTTGTGTTTAAAGTCTTTACTTTTATTTCACATCCTCCTAAGCAGGTATCCAGAACTTACCCCTGGTATAACCAATTTGGAAGCGCCCAATTAAACTGAATCACGTGATCTAATTATGTGCAATAACTTATACATGAGAGCCAATCAGATTGCGAGTTCTTAATCGCGGAAATGCTAACTGCTTATCGCAGGGGGTAAAAAGAAAGAATGCATTCTGGATTTTGAAGCCCTGTGATCGGAGGATGTTATTTCAGAGCTTCAAAGATCATGTTACAAAATTAATATGTTCATTTTCATTTCAAATACCAGTAGGCTAATCAAGAAAATTCAGTTAAATATATTTGATAATTTGACTGTATGATATAACATATATACAGTACACGTATTTGACATGTATTGGAGTTTTCATGGATGGACGAATGGAAGGACAGATGGGAGGGTGATTCCTTAAGGCTTACCATGTGCGCCACAAATGACACACTATAAATGACCAAATTTGTAAGTGTAATAATGTCCCATACCTTGCCCATGTTCTTCTGGTATTTTGTTGAGGCAACATAGGAGGCCTTTACAGTCAACACCACAGCATTCATCAAGTTCTTGGCTGAAGTGATCAAAGATGTAGCACTGTCCAACTGAAAGATAAACAACAGATATAGGTTCTGGTAGGAGCATCCACAGTGTATTTTTTAGCATTCAAAATGCTTTTAATTGATATTCAGACATAGCTAGGCCTGATATATCCAATCAGAACACAATACATGTGTTTCAAATAATCTGCATTCTTGAAATTACAATCAAGCAAGACATACATTGTTAAATCATCCTACAATTCATTAATATGAAAGAAGATAGAAAAATAATTTGCACAAGCGATCAATACAATCCTAGGAGGATTATCTTATGTCACAGTCATTCTGAGGATATAGAAATACAAAGTTGTTATAACTTACCCCTGATACAATGAGTTCTCCACTGATGTTCTGTACATCTGCCTTTACTTTGCTAGTAATGTTCAACTGATGGCAGTAGAGAGCAATTCGCTGTAGGTACGCAGTCAGATCTTGCTTGGAGGCAGACTCAGGACACTAAAACAAAGCAAGCAAATCAAAAAGATGCAACAGGATCTTGGGACATTAAAACAACGAGGGAGAAGTGGCAATAGTTTACATAGTCCCAAGAGCAATATGGCATCAAACTGGCTCAGAATTTGGCAGAATACAATATGGTACATGCATCATCCAATCTCTGAATTAGAAATGCTTCAGTTTATATTTCTGAATAATTATGAGTCAAATTTTCCTCAACTGGTTTAACCAAAGTTATGTTATGTCAGGGATGAAGATAAATTTACTATAAATCATATGAAATAAAACATCTCTGTCTTCTATGTTTCTTGAACCTATAGCCTTCCTGAACTTTACAATGAACTTCTGAATTTATCTTTAACATTTAAATAAAGTATCAGACCTTATAACATAATTTGGAGAGCTCACTTCATGCATGTTCATCATATTCCATGCTTGTTCTACTCTTTTCCACTCTATTTTTGCTTTTCAAAACAAGACATGACATATTTACTACTCACATCTTCTGCAATGTTTCTAGCTAGTTTATCAAGTTTCTGTCCAGCCTCTGAGATTTTCTTGGCAGCGTTAATAACATCCATCGTGTTCTTCAATGGTCCACGACCCCTGAATGAAAAATGGGTCAATTCATTTAAAAATGTACAGGTATATTGGTTCAAAATTGAAACATATTTTT